GATGGATTAGAAATAAAGATAGTAAGATCTTGGTGAAAGATGAAGACATCAAAGAAAGTTGAAAACACTTCTTTGATAAATTATTAAATGAGATCTTTAAAGAAGAAAGTATATCTTAGAAGAGCATAATAAACAATATGATGAAAGATATTATAAATTGATTCAAAAAAGTGGAGTTAGTTTAAAGAAGAACAAAGGTAAGTATTTATGTGTAGATGAGATACCCTTTGAGATTAAAAAGTTATGGTGGATATTCTAGTGACTTGACTAACAAATATTTTCAATAGAATTTTTAAAACTCGAAGGATGCTAAATTTTTATAGAAAAAACATTTTATATCAATATTTAAAAGCAAAGGTTGTGTTATGTATAGATGAGTTAAACTTATGATTTATGCAATAAAGCTATGGAGAGTGTAATAGAATATGGGCTTAAAAAAACTATATTAGTTTGGAGAACCAATTTGATTTGATGCCAAAAAGATTTACTATGGAAGCAATTTTTTGTGTTTAGACAATTACTTGAGAGTAAAGAAAGGATGTTCGCATGATTTTTATTGATCACGAGAAGACATGATCTAGTGCGAGGTGAATTAGTTTGGCATGCATTAAGATGTACATGTTTGTATCAAATATATGTTGCCATTTACTAGTGTAAAGCCCGAAAAATGTCAATTTTAAACCTTGTATGCTTTTCGCCGCGTCACGACGAGATTTAAGTGAATTTTTCAAAGTCGTCAGAATTTGACGAAAATTATTTTATAAATTTGTACATAAAATTCCGAGCAAATCGGTATAAAGGACCTATATAAAATTTCGATTAGTTTGAGAATTAAAAATCGGCGAAGTTTTGAAAACTTTCAATTGTGACTAAAATGCACTTAGTGATTTTAAAATGAAGATAAACCATATGAGGGTAAGATGGACTTTTGGCAATCTCTAACTTCCTAATTTTATGAAGAGGCCGATTCCTCTTCATTTCATTTGCTCATTTGTTCGGCCTAACTGAAGGAATAGGCGGAGGCGAGAGGGAGGCGCACGGACGGGAGGCTAGGACGGCAACTCCGGCGGTGGTTTCCGGCGAGGGGATTTGGGGAAATCGTAGAGGAGACTAAGGGTAAGGAGAAGGTATGTTTAATTTAAGCATTCTCCTTATCTCAAAAATTTTTTGGAAAAGAGAAATCTAGGGTTTGTTAAAAACTTAAATTTTCTTAGGGAAACTTAGGGGGAATGTTAAGGAAGATTTAAAAACATGTTCTAATTATGAAATTTGTTCTTTCCTCCATAAATCCTTAAGTTCAAAATTTAGGATTTTTGCCGAATGTTAATATCTATGGAAAGTTCTTAACATGTATTATCCCAAATGATAGTATGAGAGTTTTTAATGATAGAAATTAGGATTTTTAATGAAAATTTTATTTTCCTATTTTTTATTTTAAGAAAAATCCGAAAATAGAAATTAGTTTAAATTAAATTAGGTTAGGGTAAAAGATTTAATTTGGATAAAATATGTAATTAGACTAAAATATGAATTTTTAGAAGATATACATGTTTTATGTGTTCAATTAGAGTGAGAGAACTTAGAGTGGTTTAAAAAGAGAAGAAGAATTTTAATTTTAGATTAATTTTGTAGATTTTTTAAGGAGAAATTATTTTTCATATAGGTGTTTATTTGTTGTGACCTCGAAGGAAGGAGAACTAGTGTGAAAATCAAATCCCTTGAATCTGTGAGTGCTCATGATTCTTTATTATAGTGATACATTTATTTCTCTTTAGTTATATGTTTTGAAAGTCCAAACATGTTTATGAAATTTTTATGATTACTTTAGATCATGATTATGTTATTCTTATCCTATGATTGATCATGCGATTTATATGTTATACTTCATGGCATTATCACATAAAGTTCATATATTATAGAAATGAGATGATATGATATGGTATAGTATGTTTGCATGTGCATGTTGAAATGATGGAGCTCACCCCCTTATGGTCTAGCTAGGGACGTTGTACTCGTGCATGTTAAAATAGTAAAGGTTATGAAAAAGGAAATGATAAAGGAGTACATTTATGGTACTAGACGGTGACTCATGTGACGGTTGTACTATATATGAAATGAGAAAGTTACGATATTGATATGATGAATGTAAAATGAATATGAAAGATATAGATTTATGATTTATGTGTATGTTTAATGTTATGTTTATAGGAAGAAAAATTTATGATATGTTTTAATGAAATGTGATATCTAGCATATTACTCATTCTGTCTTGAATTATTGTTGTTTAGAGTCATGTTTTACTTACTAAGCATTGACTTACTGTTAGTTGTTAAAAATTTTCAGGTATAATTATTTTAATCATAATGAGAAGAATGGGTGGAAACGTATACCATAGGAGAGGCGCGCCCTATGTTGCACCGATACACCTATTTATGAAGGCGTGTTGTATCCGATACACCGATATACGGATACACCTCCGATACGTGTCGGATACACCAAAGCCGTATCCAATTAAAATACTATTTAATTTCAAAAGGACACGCGTATCCGATACGCGTGTCGGTTGAAAAAATAAAAAAAATTAAAAAAAAAAGACGCGTTGTATTTACTTCCGGGGCTGCGAGCAAGGTTCTCTCATTTCCGAGATGGATTTGAGTCTCTTGATGATATGAGAATATTAGAAATTACTAATCTTTCACTTCATGAGCCTGAATTAGAAGTTATGATATTTATTGAAGATGATATAAAAGTTCAAAGACAAACCAATGAAGAAGCTAATCATATCATTCCTTCTATTGAATAGTTGAAACTTCATGTGCTAGATAATTTATGTTTATGCTTTTTTTGTTGTATTAGACATTTAATGCTTTCTTATATTTTGATTTTATAAGCTATAAGGCTACAAATGATGTTTTTTTTTTTTGTAATTTCAAATATTATGCTTTGATTGTTTTCTTAATTTTTATGTATGATTTATAAATTATAATGCCGTGTTCGCACCGTACCCGTATCCTATATTTTTAAGAATTGACGTGTCCCGTATCCGTATCGTGTCGTATCCGTGTCGCCGTATCCGCATCGGTGCAACATAGGGCGCGCCATAAGAAAGATTATTATATGAGTCTTAATGAAATTATGTTTATGTGTTTTAAATTTTATTGTTGTAGTGGCTATTTCAAATGTTATGGTGATAGTTTAGAGATTGGATATTTTAGTCTACCGTCCGACCTCCGTTCCCGCCTCGTCTATGCTAGCTCACCGGGCCGGGTCGTGACAACTAGTACTAGAAATAGTTGTGTAGTTGCCCTAGAATTTTCAATTATGATATATTTAAATCTAGGATCAACATTGAATTCATATATATATATATATATATATATATTTTATTCGTTATGGACATGATCATGAAAGGTGTTCAAAGTAAGTTATATGGTGTATAATTTTTTATGGTTGATGTAGGTATTAACTGGGGAGACATCCATTGTAATAAGCCACAAATTAGAATAATGAATGAAATATTTTGAAGATATTAGACTTGAATTGATAGAATAAAAATTGAGTATATAATATGTAATTTTAGTTGGTGATATTTGTAATTATCAGTCAATGTTATTATAAGATACAACGATATCTATGTGTGATAGATTTAAATATCTTGGATTTATTATATAGAATAATGAAGATCTAAATGAGAATTTAGCTTCTATATTTTAGACTAAATTAAAATGAAATAAAAAATTGTGTGATGAGATGATATCATGTAGACTTAAGAGAAACTTTATAAAATTCTAATTAAGTTGATATTGTATGAATTTGATTTTGGGTTGTAAAAAATTCATTGATGTCTTATTTGAGCTTGTCAAAAATGAAAATGTTATGATGGACATGAGAAAAAAATTATGAAAGATAAATTAATGAGTGATTATATCAAAGAAACTATTGGAGCAACATTTACTGAAACTGAATAATTGAAAATGAATTTAGTTAGTTTGGACATGTACAACGAAGGGTAGAAAATATGCCTACCTAACAAGTTGTTAAAGTTAATATTAGAGGATTAGGAAGTGAAGGGGTAGACCTAATATTACATAGATAGAAGAAGTTCTGAATAATTTGCATAATAGATTTAATTCCTTGAGCAACACTTTGTAGGAACAAATGAAAAATGAGAATTTATAAAATTGAGCCGAATAGTTGGGATTAGGCTAATGATAATAATAATGCCTCGTTTTTCCTTTGTTCTTCAATATGCATGCTTCTGTCCTATCTAGAAGATGCATATGCGGCTTCTATGTTATTTGTTTTCAGCTAACCTTTTTATACCTTAAGAAGTTTAGACTTTGTTTTCTATTTACGTACTATTTTCTAGTCACAGAAATCTGTGCTTGTGGGTGGAGAAAGTTACAAAAGACTTGGTTGACTTCATTATTCTATCAAGGGCAAGAAAGATAATAATCTATACTTCCTGTTATATATCTTATACATTGCTTCATTCTTTCTAGTTCATCTTATAATTATTTGATGTTTCCAGGCGAACCTATCTGCAGATAGGCTCATTCCCTTTTTTATTACAATTTATTGAAAACTGAATACCTTCTATATATTAAAAAAAGTTTAAATTATGATATTATCTATTTTAAGGGGTGGGTGGCTTCTCGAGTTGGTAACTTAGCTACCTATATATTGATGGGTTTCCTGCCTAACTAAACTTATTAACATAGTATAGTTACTCAACCGTGTAGAGTATTTTTTTTTCATTTTCATTTCCACTAGGTAATGAGAAATAGCTTGTCAATCCAAGATTATAGGTTTCTATAGAATATTATTGAGGATTTATTTCTTAAATATTTTTATTTTATTCATGAACATTTTTGGATGGAAGTTATTATTATTCTACAACACAAGAACTTTTATATCTCAGCGTTTTGCCCAAAATGTTTTATTTTATTATCTACTTGAGACCGTCACTATTTGACAGAAGTTTGGATATTCCTTAAAAGGTCTTTATTGATGAGCTGGATGCCATTGCTCCATCACGGATGGGTGGAGGGGAAGAGTTGTCTATTAGAATGGTTGCAACTCTGCTAAAACTGATGGATGATATCAAAAGATCAAATGGAATTCTTGTAATTGCTGCTACAAATCGACCTGACAGCATTGATCCTGCCCTGAGACGACCTGGCAGATTAGATCGAGAAATTGAAATAGGTATGGACAGATGATCCTTGTCCTATAAGCTGTTATTAATATTACTATTTTTTTAAAGCTCACATTTTTTGTGAAGCTGAACCTTATTAACTGGTAGAAATGGAGAATAATTGCTCTCCAGGCTTAATCAAAGAGCTTGATTAGTTTAAGATACAATAATTTTGTTTTTAGCTCTATGATTAGTATATCATATTTATTGCAGATCTGATATAATAAATGTCAGTGTCTCTAAAAAAAAAATGTCAGTGTCTCCCTTTTTTAAGTATAGTTTTCCCCATTTTCTGTCTTCTTGCATGAAGCTAGCTGTATGCATATAGGGATGCAGATTTTCTTCAAATACCATGATAATTAGAAGCGCCACTGTCTATTTCCCTGTTATGGATTCCACATGGATTGGATGGGATCAAGTTCCTCAAAGTTCGAGCATTTTCCAAAGGAAATGTTGTTTTGGTCTCAATCATCCACAGAAAATCCATAGCTGGGTGAGGTAATGTCAGTGTCCACTCAGCATTGTAATTGAAAAGGACCTCATCGGTACTTTCTGTAGCAAATTTTTGAACGGTGTTTTGCCTTTTCTTTATTTGAATTTTATATTTTCTCGAGTTACGTTTATATTTAAAAAATTTAGTATTCATTAAAACTACAATGTAATACCAAAATTGCCCATGCTTCGGAGCTTTTTAAAGACAGTGGATTTTGCTCTTGCTGATCCCGCAAAACATAAATACAATGATGCCATCGACCTTGCACATAATCTGTACCAAAATGGTGATTTTGCGTAGTGTTAAAGGGGAAAACTTTCTTGTCTCTTATTAACTACTTGGAGTGCCTATATGATAGAGTTAATACTAGAGGTAGGAAATAAATAGGGAAATATCCTGAAATCTCCTGATAGTTAGGTAAAAAGTGCTTTTCTAATGTGTTATTTTCTATCTGGTACTTCCATCACAGAGAAATGAAGGTGAACTTATTGTTTCATTGATTTGAATCTGTTTAAATTCATTGCGGTATCTACTTTCAGGAGTGCCGTCTCCAGTTCAGCGGTTAGATATATTGCATACTCTTCTTAACCACATGGATCATTCACTAAGTAACAGTGAGATTGAGTCATTGGCTTTTGAAACACATGGTTTTGTTGGTGCTGATTTAGCTGCCCTATGCAATGAAGCTGCAATGACTGCCCTTCGTCGCCTTATTAAATTTGAGAAGCTTTTTAAGTGCTCACATTCCAAAACTGGTGCGGTTGATAAGGATAATCAAGCTCCTAATATCCAAGAAATTGGGAAGGCATCATATAATGATGATTTGAATTCTTTATCATCATTCTTATCAGAATTGACTGTGTCACCAATGCCAGTTTGGCAGGATAATTCTCTAAATTTTACTGAAAGTAATAGACTGTGCTGTTCACGTGGTTCTGATGGAGAGGGACAAAATATTTTGTTAAAAGTAAATGCTGAAGATTTTGAAGTCGCAAAGATGAAAGTGAGGCCTAGTGCTATGCGTGAGGTACTAGTTTGCATGAATATATGATTCAAAAACTTGCTTTCTTGTGTCAACTAAGCTTAGCTAGTTTCTATTGGCCTACTAATTAACATCAATGCATATCAATCTCTTTATTGAAAGCCAGTTACAGATTGTGATGTCAATTTTCAAATTAATGAGCAATTTGAAAATTGTCATTGATCTATAATTCTTTGGTAATCTTAGAAAAGAGTAGGTGATTAGGAAAGTCTAGTTTGTTCATTCTTTCAATGAGTCTTTATACTGAAAGCTATGTAGAAGAAAAAGAAAATAAATAATTACAATAACAACAAGAAGTTTTTAACGTGGGATCAGCTACTTGAATCCTTTTTCTTTATTGTGTCCTATTAAGAGTCAAATTCTCATTTAAATAATTACAATAACAAACATAAAAGTAAGTAATCCCAGTAGTTGTCTGCGTGGCCATTTGATCTATTTAGGTCTTACCAATTGATGTCAAGAGAGAGCAATTCATGGGCACTTTCTTTTCTTTCTTGTATAGGAATTTGTGGGAGAGGTATTTTCTTGTAAGCGATGAATCTGTGGCCCTAATTTTCTTACCTGGAACTTTTGCAGCCTCTCTTGTAAGAATCGAAGAGCCATTGGATTGAGAGGGACCAACAGGGGTGATAGATAGGAAAAATTCGAGGCCACGGATGCATTGCTTGAAAGGAAATACATTTCTCATGGTTTCGTATATAAGAAATGAAAGAAAGAGCACATGGATTGCTCTTTTGGAATCAATTGACAACCCCTAATATATCAAATAACAACGAGCTGATGCTATGATCATTTATTTTTATGTTTATTCACCTTTTTATTAATAAAAGTTATATGGGGATGACTTGCTGAATGTCCACTGAATTGTAGAACATTTCGTTTTTCACTATTTTTAGGTAATGCTTGAGCTTCCTAAAGTTAGTTGGGAGGACGTTGGTGGCCAAAGAGAAGTAAAAAGGCAGTTGATTGAAGCAGTTCAATGGCCACAAGTACATCCAGAGGCTTTCAAACGTATTGGGGTTCAACCTCCTAGGGGATTATTAATGATTGGTCCTCCTGGTTGTAGCAAGACCATGATGGCCCGAGCAGTAGCTGCAGAAGCAAAGCTAAACTTCCTTGCAGTCAAGGGGCCTGAACTTTTTAGCAAATGGGTTGGGGAGTCTGAGAAGGCTGTGAGATCAATTTTTGCAAAAGCAAGGGTGAACGCTCCTGCAATTATATTCTTTGATGAAATAGATGGCCTAGCAGTAACTCGTGGAGCAGAAAATGATGGTACTTCTGTTGCTGACAGGGTTCTGAGCCAACTGCTGGTAGAAATGGATGGTATGTTGCACATTTTTACCTGAAGTTTTGCATAAATTGGCAACGCATTTGTTAATATGTCCAGCTGGTTCGGTAATATATAAAAAAATACATGTTGATGAGCATTTAAACCTTGTTCCTTTAAACTGGCAGCAATTGTTTGTCAGTCTTCTAATTTGTCAATCAAGTCAACTTCAGACTGCAAGCATCATGTCAATCAAGTCAAGTTCTCATTGATGACATTAAGCTAATGCCTTGCTCTTATGTATAAATTTTAACATACAAAAACCCATGACTGGAGCTTGAATTGGGTTATGTTAATTTGTTTTATAATTTTTTTATAAGATGGTGGTGAGACCTATCATGCTTTATGGTGCTAAGTATTGGCCATTAAAAGAGAAACTTAAAATTAAGTGTTGCAGAGATTATGATGCATTGGCGGATGAGTGGCTTTATGCTTTGAGACAGAATGTAAAACGAGTATATACGTGAAAAATGTTAGAGTAGCTCTAATGGCAGTAAGATTAGAGAGAGTCGCCTTAGATGGTTTGGTTATATAAATCGTCGGACTTCCGATGAATCTGTTAAGAGAGTAAATGTATTAGATCTAGACTATGTTAAGGTAGAGGTAGACCTAAAAAGACTTAGTTAGAAAGTATTAAAAATGATCTCTTTTTTTCTTAGATTTAAATAAGAGTTTGACTTTTAATAGGACACAATGGAGAAAAAGTATTCATGTAGCCGATCTCACATAGTGGGACAAATGTTTTTTGTTGTTGTTGTTGGAGTAGTATTTGACAGACAATCTGATGGGGACATCAGATTTCGACACGTGTATCATCGCCGGCGGCGCAGATCGACGGCTACGATCCAGAGCCTCTATTTCTGATTTATTTACAGCTTATTTCATATGTATTTTAGTTTTCCTAGTTTGCCCCTGAGGGCATTATTTTGCTTATGTACGCTTGGCCTGTGTTAATTCTTTTCAAGTAACGGATGACTGCCAATGGGATTAGCAGCAAGCCCTTTTAGGTAATCCTTTTTTTAACATTAAATCTGATATTCACATGTCAGATTTAATGATCCCGTGATTTCCTCAGGAGAAGCCACATGAGAAATCTGATTGCTCCCTCTATACTCTCACTGGGGTCGGCCACCTCCTCTTTAATTTTTCTCTCTCCCAATTAATTCACAAACTCCACAAAATCAGCCTCGAGGTGTCATTACCGCCTCCTCTCCTTTTAGAATTAATTTGAAATCTCAAATTATTCCCTCCCATGTAATACAACCTGAAATAATTTCAGCTTGCTGAGATTTTTCCTAGCCTCTCCAACCTAGCCGACTCTTCCTATCTTTCCCGCCAGTCACCCTCTCTACTCCAACCCACAGCCTTCCCCTTCCCCTATTCTCCTCGGACGCTACCTTAATTCCGGGCAATAATGCATGGCGGATCCGGAGCTAGAATGGGGACTTGTGTTTGACGCTCACGGCAACCTCGACATCCAACGATCACCGTTTTTCAACGCGGGATTTGACTCCGACGACGATACCGTTGGGGCCTACTTGGATCGGATCCTACCGACTCTCATTGACGTCATTGACAAATAACGTCCAGACTCCGAGTGGATCATTGACGGCCGTCCACCCGCTCCTCCGAACCCGGCTTCCTTCCTGGCGACGAGTCCTCTCAAGATCACGTCTATTAGTGGCATCGCTAAGTCTACTTACAATTTTTCTCCGCTAGCCACCACTTTCAGAATGAGCGAAGGACTTCAAGGTGAATGATCTAGATATTAAATTTGGGGCTTTTGATTATTTCTAACTATTTGCATTATTTCAATTTTGGTGTTATTTTGTGAGGCTGCTCAACTCTCCACATGTAATTTATTGTCATTGCCTAATCTACCTATATCTTATTCTTAAACTCAACTTGAGTAAACAAAGAGTTTTGATAGCAAGCTAAAAGTCATTGCTTCTATTAATTTCTTAAGTGCAATTCTTAATTCACCATATGTGGTTTCACATCACAATCATAAGCTTGAATTGCCTTATTACCCCAATCATGAGAGGAATCAACATTGGGCCATTGGCCAAACCTATAGGTCCGCTCATTTATGACATTTTGATGAACAGTGCTGACTGTTTTTGATCTGGTCTTAACATCCCATAGAGAGACTGATTGGATGTCTTGGATAGGCAGTCTTATACGTGACCCTTGAAATAATGAATTATCCCCACCCCAACCCCAAAAATCAGGATTTTGTGACATGGTTCTTCCCTTTACAATAAGGGATCACAATGCCCATTTCGGGATTAAAATAATGTTCATAATCAAATCAGATCAGTGGTAAATACTGGGAAAGAAATTTGGAGCGCCAGTGCCTCCAAAACATGTTGAGTAAGAAGAATTCATGAAGCTCTAAGACAACAGGACGATTCCTCCTATGCCTCCTAACCACGTCATTCATGCTATCTATTAAACTTTTGCCTTCTAATTAGGTATATGCTAAGTTAACTCACACACTTGTCAACTTTCCACATGCTTGGGGACTCGATTAAAAACCCTGTAATTCTATGACTGTTATCATGCACTTACCATTTATTATCCTCCCAACTTGTGCTTCTGTCTCACCATTCTTCATTACAATTTATGGAATTGAACTAAATAGCAGATTCTGACAATTTATATTAACCAGAAAGGAAACTTTTACCCGTTATGTACTAAATCAAGCTATATTTTTTTAGGTAGCTCAAAAATTATTTTTGCGAGTTACAAGATCCTAATGGTTGGTCATTTGAATATAAGATTGCTGTTGAAGTTTATTAAGTTGAAACTGTTTCCTATTATCATCCAAAAAAGTTTGTATTTTCGAGCATCAAACATCAATTTTCAGCTTTTATATTTCAAGCAAATTAAGTCTTTTTTGCTCAACCTTTTCTCTCGCGTGTACAAAACTGTTTTAAGGAGTAGTGATGCATTTTTTATTTTTTGAACTTCAACAATTATTTGTAACTTCTAATTTTTAACTTTTTATGATTTTTACAACATTTTTTATCAGGTCTTGACCAGAGAGTCAGAGTTACTGTTATTGCAGCTACTAATCGTCCTGACAAGATAGATGCTGCACTTCTACGACCAGGTTCTGCCGTAAACTTCAAGCATTCTGTTGATGTATTTTATCTCTTCTTGAAAGGGCCTTTTCCTTTTTTCTGAATTTGAATTGATGATATTACTACTTCACAGCTGGCCGCTGAATCTAAAACTGACATTAACTTTGCATTTCAGTCATCCTGGATGTCATGTTGTTAAGCTTACTTGCTGATTCATTAATCTTGATCTGAGCAGGACGATTTGACAGGATTTTGGATGTTCAACCACCAAATGAATTGGATAGGGAAGATATTTTTCGGATACATACACGTCATGTGCCTTACAGTTCTGATGTCAACCTATCGGAGCTTGCTCGCCTTACTCCAGGATATACTGGAGCAGATATAAAGCTTGTGTGCCGAGAGGCAGCTGTTGCAGCACTAGAAGTATGCTTCCTTTTTTCTCATTGTTTTGCTACTTCTCTTTTTGGAAATTGTTCAGCATCACATTATTTTGACGGGAAAGATGAACTAATTGATAACAATTTGCAATCCAGTCATATCAACATTTTCTTCATTTTATACCATCCAACCATAATTTATCTTCTTTTTAACAGGAAAACTTGGAAATATCTGAAGTATCCATGGAACATTTCAGGATTGGAATAAGAAGGGTATATCCTTCAGAAGTTATTTTTTATCAGGAACTTGCAGAGCAGTTTCGGAGGCTTGTTGATGGTGGATCTACCTGAGCTGAATGGTATCAAATATTTGATTTGTCAATCCTGTTTAACATCATATTGTCCATGACCATATTTAAATTATCTATATATAAAGTTGTACATTTTTATTTGCTTAATGTCGGAATATGTTTACAACCACGTACTGGCGTTTTAGTTAGTCTTGTATGGTAAGGGAATTTGATGTTCTTAGAACTAGCATCTCTTTGACATCTTATCGCTAAAGTTGCTTCTCTTTCCAAATATTTCCAAATATGTGTACACACATATGCACTTAGACACACAGTTGTGCACAAGGCCAATTAATGGTCATAAAAGAAGTAAAGAAATGAGACAAGTGGATATATATATATATATATATATATATATATATATATATAATATGTTTACACAAAAGTGTACAAGTTCTAAACTTATGACCAAGAAAAAAAAAAGAAAGTGTACATCAAGGTAATTGTACTTGTAAACCTCAATAAGATTTTGGTGCTCACTTTAGTGGTTTGTACCTCTTCCGCAAACCGAGTCAGTGCGGCCTCAACATCTAATATCACAATCATGAATTTGATAGCGATGTTGTCTCTTTCGGTTTCTCAAACCTATCTTTTATGTTACTTGAAGATCCATTTATTAGGATATCAAATCTCTTATCACCTTTGAAAGATTCTTTATGTTTGAGGAGAGGTTCTCAGTCTTTGGTTGTCAGGCTGGTTGATTTATGGCTATGTTGTTTCATGGCTTCAACACTCTTTTTAATTTCATCATGAGCCATGTTAGCAATCTCTTTGACGGATCCTGATCTATTCATGGAGATTGGACAATAAAATTCTTGTTCGTACAATAGAGAGAGATTTTAACTGACAAAATAAAAATTTAATTTCTCGACATAATCCTTCCCAATATCTTAAATCATTAACCTCCAAACCGATATGTGCCAAAAAGCCTAGGCTGGTATTGGCATTCACTGTAAAGTGATCAGATGACTTGGGCGATGTCGATTTTAGCTGAAGTCAAATCCTGAAGGATCATATTTTGGTCATGCATTTTCCTATTTATTGGATCTATGAATGATGTACACCAAAAATATATCTCAGGTTAGTAGTCCACTCATTCTAGCATTATATGAAAAGAGAGAAGTGAAATATTATTCTTAAGAAATAAGAAATAAAATGAAAAACAGAAGGGAGCAATGAAAAAGGTTCTACTTGAGCTCAATTCTATACATGTTAGGGGCTACTAGAAAGAGGTTTTGGATACTGCAGCTAACTCAAGAGATGCTGTGATGTACGTGGTGCATCATACACTACGAGGGGGTAGTGATTCCAACATTTCACCTAGCCAAAAAGATGAAAGGGGTCCATGAGGAAGCTTGGTTCCATAAAAGATGTTTCCACATCAGGAAAGATGGGATAAGGTATATGTATGCTTGACGTACCTATCATATAACCATTAAAAGGACTATGCCTCATACCTGCAGGCATCCTAAAAGATTCAAACAGTATCTCCTCCAGGGTTTGTAGTTGATGAGTATGGGACTTCCGTAATTACAAAAGCATGAACATGTTCACTATGTTGGAAATGTACACGCTTTTGTTCTGGTGAAGGGGCATTCTTGTAACCTGCATAGGGTTACTTGATTCATCCTTTGGTGGGAGAATGAATATTCTCTTATGTAATTACTCGGCCACCTTTCCATCTACTATTAAGTTAAAAAAAGGACATCAAACGTAGGAAAAAAGGTCAAATGGATGAAAGAAATAATTCATAAACAAGTAGGGTACTTCCATTGCTATCGGTTTGTGGAAACCTTTATTGAGGTCTTTGACCACTGGTGGTTGAATAGTCTCTTATGTAATTACTCGGCCACCTTTCCACCTACTATTAAGTTAAAAAAAGGACATCAAACATAGGAATGAAGGTTAGTAATGAGAGGCGAAGCGAAGAAGAAAGACATATGCGCTTCTAGGTAGAGGATGCTCTCATAAGTTGCATGGTAATGGCATATCATTTATTCATGGAGTAAAAGCTCAAAATAGTCCCTCAATTATTGATAAATGTCCAGTTTAGTTCTATAGTTTCTCATTGCTCTAATTTAGTCCCTCAACTATTAAAAATAGAGTCAATTTAGTCCCAAAGCATAAAATAAGATTTAAAGTTAACTCCAAAGTTAAATATGAAGAGTATTTTAGATACTACAAGTGGATATGAGATTATATTGCTCAATTTTATCAATTAATAAATTATAGTACCTATTTAATTTACTGCATCATAAGGGTGAATAAATAAGGAAAAAACTTATTTTAAAGCAAAATCTAACATAATATAAATTAAAAATTTATATTATTTAAATATAATAAAAATATCATAAGTCAATTTCATATCATTTAGTTCATTAACAAAGCAAATTTACTTTTTGTATTAATTTTAATTTACATTTTAAGTAGGAGTTACTTATTAATTCTAATTTAAATTTTTGTCAATAAATTACAATTATAAAAATAATATAATTATAAAATAATTTAATTATGAAATAACTTATTAATTTTAATTTTGATTATATTTTTAGTTATTTGTGAGTTAATTATTAATTATTAATTTGAATTATCATTATTAATTAATTATTATTAACAATATAATTAAAATCTAAGTTAGTTATCAATTAATTATTTTTTAATTACTTTATATTAATTAATTTTAATTAAAATAGTTAAACTAATTTAATTTGCTTGTGTGATAGAAAAGTCCTCTTCAAACTTAAGGGAAAATTCTATAAGATGGTGGTGAGACCTACAATGCTTTTATGATGTAGAATGTTGGCCATTAAAATAGAAGCATAATACTAAGTTAAGTGTTGCAGAGAAGAGGATGCTCAGGTGGATGAGGGGATTTACCATTCGAGATAGGATACGAAATGAGCATATACGTGAAAAGGTTGGAGTAGCTCCAGTAGAAGATAAGATTAGGTAGACCCGCCTTAGATGGTTTGGTCACATAAAATGACGGCCTTCCAATGACTCGGTTAGAAAAGTAGAGGTATTGGATTTGACTTATATTAAGAAAAGATAGAGGTATACCTAAAAAGACTTGGTTAGTAAATATTAGAAATGATCTTTCTTTATTAGATTTAAACGAGAATTTGACTTTTAACAGGACTCAATGGAGAAAAATGATTCATGTAGCCAATGTTTAAAATTGCGTATTCGGGTATTGAGCCGTTTTTCATTCGTGAGGTGAGGCGTAAGCCTCAAGGCGTTTTGAGGCGTAAGCCTCAAAATCAAAAGATTGCGTAAACATAAAATGATAAATTTTTTATGTACTACTGAGTGAATTATATAAAACATAAAAAAACATAAGATATGAAGTGAAATCAAAATATTACAATAATAAGACAACATGAAATATAGTTCAACTCAAAATTCTATCTTTTACAAATCCCAGTATTCTTTTCATTAACATATAATTCAAATTTCCAAAAATAAATAGTAATGACATATCACATAAGAACTCATAAGTCATTAGCACTGTCATCACTAAGGGGTTCTTCATTTGAATCATCATTATGATGAACTGCTCTCTCCCCTTTCTCCTTGCTTATAAAGTCCAATGTCGGGCATTTACTTTAAGATTTATGTAAATTTTAATATATATAGCGTGAGGCGTAAGCCTCATGCCAGTGAGGTGAGGCGGGCCTCAACCAAGTTGAGGCGCTAGCCTTATAAAAAAAACTCGAAGTTGATTTGTTTTTTATTGGAATTGCGCAAAGGCGATCCTCATATTGCACAATTTTAAACCATGCATGTAGCCGACCCCACATAGTGGGACAAAGGCTTGTTGTTGTTGTTGCTGTTATAGTTGTTGTAGTAGTAGTAGTTAAACTAAATTAATTTGTTCCTTTGTTATATTTCTCTGGCAATGCTTGTTCTACGGTCTTTCTATATCCACAGGTTTGCTTTTCCTTTTCTCCAGTTGTTCATTGCTATTCGACTTTGTCCGGCTCGCAGCCGCACATGAATCCAAAATACGAATCAAAGCACACCGCAACGCATCTCGCTCATGGCTTGCTCGCTTGTGTTGCCTTGCTCGCTTACGTCGCCTTGTTCGTAGCTTCTTCCTCGCAAAATTTGATCTCCAGGGCTTATAGCGGGAAGGTAAGTGAGCATGTAACAAGTAATTTTATTTAAATGTTTGGAAAGAAGCGAAGCTCTCCCGCTTTTTCTATTAAGTTAAACGACAAATTTAACCTAGGGACTAAATTAGATAATTTTTAATAGTTGAAGGACCAAATTTGGGCAATAAGAAACTCTGAGACTAATTTGAGCAATAGTCGGGGGACTATTTCGTGCTTTACTCATTCAAGAAGTATGAAAGATAATCCGAGTAACTGAATGCTCCTCAAATATGAATATGAATCTAGGCATAAATATAATGTGTAAAAACTAGATCTCTGAGACTAATTTGAGCAATAGTCGGGGGACTATTTCGTGCTTTACTCATTCAAGAAGTATGACAGATAATCCGAGTAACTGAATGTTCCTCAAATATGAATATGAATCTAGGCATAAATATAATGTGTAAAAACTAGATCTTACGTGTTGACCAAAGCATTTTTTGTAATTTTTTTGAAAGTCTTGTGCATCCTAGTTAGTACTACAAGAACCAAGGAGGTGTTGCTGTTGCAAGAAAGAAGGTTGGCTGCTAGCAAAGCATGACACCAATTAACCAAAAAGCTTGTTAAGAGTAATCATCCATACCTGGGATGACAGAGGTCATTTATCCAAATTCTACAAATAGATCAACAAATACTTAAGATATATCATCAGCGCGCTCCATATCAAATTACAAAGAGTCATGTAAAAGAACGGTAGGTTGAACAAGACAATCCTTCCAATGGAGGAAGAATGGTGCGAGAGCATATCGATAGTCTAGCCATTATGCTATGAATCTAGTGGTGCGAGGGCATAACAATATATCACCTATGGGTAATGACCTAGGTTCTCGGGGAAGACCGCAGGGAAAGTGAAATTACTCATGCTATGAATCTAGTGGTTTTATTCATATACTAGTTTAGGCTATGAGGTGATATATTATTTTCCTAAACTAAGCGGTCTTGTTTTTTATATTAAAAACTTTTTAATCTTTGTGTAGGTCCATATTTGACATTGCTAATAACTTTTTTATTTGTCACAAATATGTACCTGATTTTTTAACGTAGATCCCAATCTTGTATTTTACTAATAGAACTGCCAATGGTAGCGTTAAATGACCAAGCTGCATTTAATGGTTTTTTGACATCAGCTACTAGTAGGATCTTATATCATAGGTCTTGCTATATGAAATCTAACATCGTCGGGATCTTGAATACCTGTGACGTCGATGAAATTTTTAAGGGTTAACAATGGCATTTGTATCCCAAATATATCAACTTTATATGCTAGCATGGACCTACACACTGAATAGACATAAGAAACGAGGAAACTTACTCTAGCATGTCAAACGTAGTTGCAATCTGTGTGAAAATGATAGGGTTTTATGCTAATTTACGGTATAACTTAAATTATCATTTCATCTTGTTGGCACCTTGAATTTTATTTCTAATTCTAACTTTTCCTTTGCTTTTTTCTTCTATTTTCTTCTCTTTTCAGTGGTCTGTTGTAAAGCATTAACATCAAAATTATTTATTGATTAAGATTATCAATTTCCCTCTTTCAGGTCAATTTGACTTTTCAAGTGGACCTAACTTTTAGAGATGGTCAAGTCGACAGATCTGACAAAGGGAGTTTTGCAATACATGAGGTTATCTCAATTTGCTCCTTTACAAGAGAAGAGGAGGTTGCTATCCAGAGTATGAAATCCCTCTTTGATGATAGGATTGTTGATCATATTACTGTAGAATTTACTGGTGGAGACCCTTGACGTTAGAGGGAAATCACTTAAGGATTATCGGGCGTCCGGAGCCTTTGAAGGTCTGTTTATTACTTATTTCTGTTTCATTTTGAATTTTTAACCATTTAGTTTTTAGCTAGTTGCATATTTGTGCTAGTGTTTCTTTTCCATCTAGAAGGGGAATTTTGACCTTCAAAGTAGAATTTCTCCTTGTTTTTTTTTGTTAATTGTTTTTTAGTCATGTGAAATATATGCATGCACTTATTTCCCCTCATGCCGTCATAAGTAGAACCGGTCTCATTACTTATTTTAACAAATGTTTGAATTATCGTCTTTATTTAACATTTCTGCCCTCCATATTGATATTTATTTTTAATAGGGTTAAAATTAAAAAGTTCTACAAAATGTTTTGATGATTGAAAAAAAGTAGTACTTATACAACTCACTTTGGTCTGTTGGTTGGGAGCTTAGGCTACCAATTAAGAGGTTTTGGGCTTGAGTCTTGTGTATGTGATGTGTGTGTGAGTGGCCTAAATGTGCAAAAAAAAAAAAAGTACTTGTTCAATAGGCCAAACTTTACAAGAGGATATTAGCTGCATTGTCAAGAGTGGGAGGACTATTGTATATGTACCTAATTGACAACTCATATAACTCATTGGTAGCAAGTTCTTCATTTTTTTTATCTGATAACTGAATTAATAAAAATTTAGGTTTCGTTTGAGACAACTTTCTTACTACTTTATAAAGCAGTTTTTTCGTGTAATTTTTTTTTTAATTAGAAATTTTTGTACTAGAAAATTATTTTAGAAAACAATAAAAAAAATGTCCCAAATGAAGCATTAGTCTCTCATTTTCTACTGAAGCCGTATTCTATTTTGCTTATGCAGTTTATGCTCAGTATTTTTTTTCCCTTTCTTTCAGGTTAAATGAAATTGGGGATATGTCATACGAATTTTTTTCCTGCCCTATACAATTGTTCAATCTGCAGAAGTGCTACATAGTTTTAGAAAGATGCATTTCTTGTGTACCGAAGTGCTAAATATTTTTATCTGGCATTCTGACTGTAAGGCCAGTTGGTTCCCTGTTATCTGGTTGCAAACTCGGTTAGATAGCACTAGTGTTTATTCACTTTGTTCATATTTGTAGATCAATCTATAGTAAACCATAGTTAGTGAAATTTTAGGCTATCTAAATAGCATCCAAATCGGGCTTTCGTGATTCTGAAATTCTCTAATCTGTAGCCAAAATGATGTAGGAACATCTTAGATAAGTGCAGTTTTAGGTTAAGAATACATCTTTTACCTATTTTTCTAGTGTTTTCCAGAATATTCTATAACTAACTTATATATGAAGCATTGTATTAGGATGGGGATATCATGAATAGTAATCTCCTTTGGAAGCTTTAAGCTTGTGTTATTGGATTTCTGTCAATGTTCTTCTTGTATCCTCTTCTTTCAACGATTCAACGATTAATTGCCCACATCACAAAAGAATTAATTTACCGTTCTTCTTGCAGATAAGAAATGAGGGGACGCCTAAGATGCGATGAGTTGAATTTAAATTATCTCCAAATTGAAGGAAAGTAGCTCTCAATGGGCAGCTTCATTAAGATTAATGGTGCTCTGTGCTAATTTGTCTTTTTTGACAAGTGATTCCTGTCTCGATTATTGTTTCCCAAGCACCCTGATCATTCTCCAGCTAAAATAAAAATTGATTATCTCAATTGCATTTTACTTCCAGTCTAAGTTTTATTTCAATGGTTTGTATGTCTATAATCTGAATAATTTTATTGTTTTTCTTCATCTTTCTTTGTCTGGCTTTGCTGTATCTGGCTTTCCATATTCTTCATTGTAAACCTTTATCAGCATAATCAAAGAATTTAACTAATCTTATGTTCAACGGCTTTATCTCTTGTAGATGCTATCTGTTTTGTGTTTAACTGTCCAGCTTTCTGTGGATTTTTATAAGTTTTACCATCATTCAGTTTCTGCAGTTATAGCGTTTGGTATGCTTGCATGAACCTAAAAACATATATAAATTATTTGATTGTGTTATTAGTTTTAACGTCTTAGACATAAAAGATTAAATTGTCTTTATATTAAAATTAATTATGTTATTTATTTTTTTAAATTCTTAAAGACATTAACAAATATAGAAAAAATTATGTTATCTCATTTAAAATATCCTATACCATATTCAGATATTTTAAATGTGAAATTTTTAATTCATTTAAAATTATAAATAATGTATCAAGATTTAACATATATAATTTGTAAAATAATAATTCTAATATAAAAACAGGTATTAAGCTTTGTTAACTTTCATAAAAATTTTTGAATTATGGGATTTCAGTTTGGAAGGTTGTGAGAAGTACAAAATGCGAATGAATAGATTTTTTTTTTATTTTTTTATGTTGAATTTATGTGAGGCAAATATGCCTAATAGTTGAAACATTTACATTTTAATAAATATGAATATAATAATTTATAGGAAAAAAAATGTTGTACTGAATATCTGTCTCATATTTTAAAATACAGTGCCTCAAATAGTTTAATATATTGAAAATAAAAAACGAGGATAAGTGAAATTGTTAATTTTTCTATGAAGCTGAAGTAATTTTCTTTTCTACTTGTCAGATCAGAAAATTTTACTAACTCAATTTATTAAAATAATTGATTGATCAATTTTTACAAATAGAAATATAAATCTCAGATTAAAAATATTATAATAAATTTAAAAAACTTTGAATATTTAGAATTTAACACGTGAAGGATCATGGTAGGAGAGCCCTTCAACAATACCACAAGAATTATGATTGAAGCAACAAAGCTAGCCATAATACCAATCATAAATGGATGATTAGTTGAAGTTTGAAGCCACTTCATGATCACTTCCATTACATTTATCTCTTTAGAACCTCACAGAATCATTGAAGCATCCATTTTACTTCATCACTGAACCTTCTGAGCTGCCATTAATGGAGTTGAACAATTCTTCCAACACTCCTTACCCTAAAGCAATCAATAATTTAAATAGAAAGCTTCATTATATCAATCAATACAAATAATCTCAATTACATAAACATAAACTCTAACAAAAAATAATAATTAAAATCAATATATTTCATTTCAGTGATACTTTGAACGAATTTTCACATATTGAGCATCATATTTCATCAGCGCACATGAAATATATGAAAAAATTAGAATCAGAACTTCCTTCATCAATAATAATAAAACTAAAAAAAATAATAACACATTTCCTTCAATATTCAGATTTATCTAACTTTGTTAATGTAAATATAATACCTACTATAATTGTATTGTTGTATTGCAATATTATTTCTAAGATCGGGCCAATTCATTTGCACATTCACCATCAATCAAATACACATCATTATTCATGCAACCATTCTGGTCAACTTGTTGTGAAACTCTGTACTCATGTGCCACTGAAAAAAATAAATTTCTCATTGATCTTGCATTCATCAAAATTTGGATCTACAATGACTAATGTCTTCGTATATAAGTATGTAAAGCCATTGTAGCTACAACTTGTCACAACCTGGCCCGATATTACATAGGTCATACTGTGTCTGATTATGATAATAATAACTCCAAGATGTAGTTGGAGAAGTATTGAAACAAAACTTTTAATTTATATACTACACAACAACTATTGAATGCAATATAAAGTCAAAGACTACTAAATCTTAATATGATTTTTTTATATATCTTCCAAAATATATCTAATATGAAATCTATCTATAATAGCGTTTGATAACAGAGAGAACAATAAAAATAAAAGAAAGCATGCAAAAATTAAAAAAAAAAAAACTAATAAAAAACATACCTAAAACAATTATCAGAGCCTATTACACAAACTACTTGTGAGAGCCAGTTTTCCATGTTTTCCTTCCAAGATCGTCAAGAACGAAGTTGGATCGTCCTGGGACGATCGGTACAGGTTTGTACAGAATTTCTGGCTGGGAGGTTCGTCCCAGGACAAAGTAGGGTTCGTCTGGACGAAATTTGTCGAGAGAGCAAGCCGTCCAGAGATGATTACTATTCGCGTCTGAAATAAATTCGTCCAGTCGGCAAATCGTCCCGGGACGATGTTGGATCGTCCAGGACGATCTGCATGGATATATATGAGTTTGAGATCTTTTGAAGAGAGAAAAAAAGCCCAGGAGAGAGAAAGTCGAAGGAAAAAGGAAGAAAAATGATTTTTGGGCGACTTCGGTCCGTTTCCGCTCGTCGCTGTAGTTGGAAAAATTGACCGATTCGAGGTAAGACACATTCCGCCTTTCTCAATTTTCAGAAACGAGAATTTTGACGACTTTTCTTTTTCGGATTTTTATTTCGGTTAGCGAATATTTGGTTTCGTTTCACACTGATGAACTTTTTACCGCGTAACTTTTGGTATGTTTCTGAGATGATGTTTGTGCACATTTTGAGTATTTTCTTGAAGATTTTTATATAATATTTTGGATTCTGCGACGTTTTAATCGAACTACGAATTATCTGGATGTCAAAAAATGTTGCTTCAGTACAATAAAAGTCTTACAATAATGTTTTGTATTATTTGTGGTAATTTGGTAAATTTATGAATCTGTGAATTCTGTGTAAATTCCGTATACTGCCGTTATGTTGCTGACGATTTTTCTGACGAAATCTGATTTTCTGAAATGAATGCTTTGATGTGCTGTGATATCAGAAGGGAGTTATAAGGGGCCAGAATCCTTTGAGATTCTGTCTGTGTCAGGGAAATCTGAAAAGAAAACATGTTATGTTATGAAAATTCTGTATATCTGTTCTGTTATGGTGCTATGAGCACAAAGGGATGTATAAGGGGTCAGAATCCGTTGAGATTCTGTCTGTGTCAGGGAAGGGAGGCATAAGGGACCAGAATCCGTTGAGATTCTGTCTGGGTGAAGGATATCTGGTATCTGATTCTGATGTGTGAAATGTGATTTTATCTGATTTAAAATCTGTTATGTATGCTTATGTTTGTTCTGTACGATTATATCAGTTCTGTAAAATTGACTTGATTATTCTGTTATGTAAGGTGAATTCAGTTCTTCTGTTCTGTTCAGTGGTTTGATTTCTATTTGATCAAGTATCTGTTCTACGATTTCTGTATGGCTACTATTCGGATGTATTTTTGGTTGTGAATTTCTGGAGATTTTGATTGGCGATTGTAGTCTTGCTGAACTGTTAACTCATCCATATTTTCTGCGTGGTTTTCAGGTTCTTGGAAAGGGAATGAAGTTTTGGACAAACAGTTCTGTGTCTGATCAGTGATTAGGTATTTTGTACTTTTGATTTTTGTATAATCATGACTTTTCTGTTATGTTCTTTCTATCTATAGCCATGCACTGTGTTGTACATGATTATTTTGATGAAAGAAAAAAAATGATAGATGAACTGTTCTGTATATTTGGAAGTTATAGTAGCTATGTGTTTTCTGTTCTGTATGTCTGAAATTTGGAAGAATGTCTGAAGCAAATTCCAAAACTAGATCATGTATTTTCAACATTTGTCGCGTCCCGACGCGAAGGGATTCTTTCCGGTCGGGTTGGGTCGTGACACTACTCATCTCGCCTCTTACCCCTCCCCAGGCTTGAAAATAGAAGTAAAAGAAGGGATGGACTAACACGACTCAATAGACAATCACAACCTAAAACATAAATCAATAACTAAAATCAAAAGAACTGAAAACACTGCACTGAATCATATATTGAAAGCATTTGAAAGAAAATTGAACGGTTCCAATGCTACACTTCGAAGCATCAATAAATAATTTGCATTTAATAAAAGGTTAAGTACAATGAAGTTTTACTCCTTCCAAAATATACCGCCCTTTGTATAAAAGAAAATGATCATGAGTACTTGTTCATATCCATTTAAAACTTTGGATATTTCATTGATTAAATCCTTGCTCCTTATTTTCTCAAACTACAAATATTAAATTCAACTGAACTAATTTATATTATCTGAAAACGATGAGTCAAATTTCAATGATACCATCATACATGCCTACTAAAAGAAAATTCTCATTGATCTCACATTTATCAAAAATTGGATC